AGGAGGACTTCCTCTCCAAAAAAAAAGAAAAACAACCTCTCCCAATTCTAGAAGATCTCAACACCACAGATCAACTCAAGCGTCTGAAGTGGGGAACGCCAAAAGTCTTTCAACTGGAGGGACTACTCACCCCCAGGGTTTGCACTGGCCAGTGCTGGAAAATTTACTAGGGAAAAATCTTCAGCAGCGCACAAGGGACAGAAGAGGTGATCAAGCTCTCTGGCCCAGTGCACTTCCCACTCAGACACAAGAGTAAAGAAAGATGACCTACGGAATTGTTCCCCGGAAAGGCTTCAGATGAGAAATGTGAGCCCTCCGGAAAACTTCTCCAGTCTGCGGATCTCCCAGCCGCACGGAGACAGGAGTCAAGAACTTCAAGATGCGGTGGGGACCTGACCACCGATGAGACAACTTAGCGGCTCTCTTGTCCACGGCCGAACTGACCGGATGAGCCTTACAAAAAACCAAATCCCCCACCTGGAAAGGATTGTCCAACCGACCTCGATTGTGCTTCCTCCGGACCAATTCCCTAGCTCGGATCAAGTTCCTCCTAGCCGCCTGCCAAGTTGCCTTGACATTGGCAGCACCAGGGGGTGGCAGAAGGTCGCCAATTTTCCACACATTTGCCAAAGGATTATTGGGTGGATAGCCCAACAACAGCTCGAAAGGGACCGCCTTGTGACTCTCATGGTGTGCTGTGTTGAAAGCAAATTGAATCCAAGGAAGTTCCTGATCCCAGGTGGTCTGCTTGTCAGCATGAAAAGCTATGAGAGCGGATCGAAGATTTCTGTTGAACCTCTCAGCATGGGAAGGCTGTGGATAGTAAGGAGAAGTGGTCACATGGCGGATACCGTGCCCAAAGCACATTCTTTTGAAGAGGTGAGAAACGAACTGAGTTCCGTTGTCGGAAACAATGGTGGCGGGAATTCCAAAGTGTTGAAACAAATGGGTACGAAGTGCCTGCACGGTGAGCTGTGCAGTGGCGTTCCTCAAAGGAAAAAGCCAACAAAACTTGGAGAAGGCATCCACACAAACAAGCAAGAATTTGTTTCCTGACTTGCTACGTGGGAGAGGCCCTACATAGTCTATGAAAACCTTCTCCAAAGGTCTCTCTGCCACCTCAGATGACAACAACCCATACTTGGTATTCTGAGCAGGCTTGCTTAGCGAGCATGTTTGACAAGAACGCACTCGTGCCGCAATGTCCCTGTCCATACCCTTCCAGATGAACATGTCCCTAACCTTCGCAATGGTCTTGTGAATCCCTAAGTGCCCACCCACAGGGGAAGAGTGAAAGTACGCAAAGACCATGGGTACAAGAAGACTAGGCAGCACAACCTTGGGTTTACCTCGCTGTCGGTCTCGACAACAAAGAGCACCCTGGGACAGAAAATATGGGGGGTGGGCTCCCCCATTTTGAAGCTCACCAATGATCTTAGCCAGCTCGGGATCTTTTAGCTGATGTGGGATGAACTCAGAAAAGGCGAGGGGAAACTCCAGGAGCACGGCACACCCTGTGTGCTCCTCCTGATCAGAAGGTTGGTCGTCAGGTGAATGGTACATCCTGGATAAAGTGTCAGCAATCACATTCTGCGTGCCTCGAACATGTTGCACTTGGAATTTGAGGGAAGATATTTGGACCACCCAACGACCAATTTTCCCAAGCTGGCGAGGATGTGCAAGGAGCCACGAGAGCGCTTGGTTGTCGGTTTCCAGCAAAAACTCTTTGTGTTCCAAAAAACGTCTGAACTTATTCACTCCAAACACGACAGCCAAACACTCTAACTCATACACAGAAGAGCTTTTCTTTTCGCATGGGTTCAAAGTGCGTGAGGCATACGCAATTGGCTGCCTAACACCATCTACCTCTTGAGACAACACAGCCGCAATAGCGACGGAGGAAGCATCGGTTTGCAAAACAAACTTTCGACTGAAATCTGGCATCGCCAAAACTGGAGGTTGCATGATAGCTTCTTTCAGAAGATCAAAAGACATCTGTTGTGCTTCACCCCAAACAAACTTGGCGCCCTTCTTCCGAAGCTCATTGAGAGGAGCCGCCAACTCAGCCACATTGGGGATGAAGCGCCGGTAGAAACCCACCATGCCGATGAAACGGGCAATGCCTTTGACATCTCGGGGAGGAGGAAACTCCCTGATAGCCTGGGTTCTAGCCGGATCGATACAGACACCTCGTGAAGATACTAGATGACCTAGGAAAGAAATCTCAGCCTGAGCAAAACTAACTTTCTCGGGATTTACGGTAAGGCCAGCCCTAAGCAACCTATTCATGACTTCCTCAAGATGAACCAGATGGTCTTCAAAGCTCTCACTGTACACCAAAAGATCGTCAAGATAGTTGAACACGAATTTGAACTTGACGTCATGGAAGATGGAGTCCAGAAGTCTGGTGAGGGTCTGGGCCCCCACAGCTAGGCCCATGGGAACACGTGTGAACTGGTACAAGTTCCACGGAACGCAGAAGGCAGTGAGAGGTCGAGATTCAGGTTTCAAGGGAATCTGATGGTAAGCCTGGTTCAAATCAAAGACGGAAAAATACTTGGCCTTACCGAACCAATCGAACGCAGAGTGCAAATCAGGGAGAGGGACAGAGTCAATTTCAATCTGAGCATTCAACTTGCGATAATCTAGAACCATTCGAGACTTGCCATTTGGCTTTGGAACTAGAAAAGCTGGACTTGCGTAACTTGAGCGAGAAGGCTCAATTACCCCATTTTCAAGAAGCTCATTGATGATTCCACGGAGTGTTTCCATCTTGGGTGGAGCAAGTTTGTAAGGATGAGAACGAACTGGACGGGTGTCAGTCAAACGGATTTCGTACTCCAAAAGATTGGTGACTCCAAGCTTTGGCGTTAGCACCTCAGGAAAACGAGAACACAATGTTCTGATAGCTTCAGCCTCACCAGGAGTCAGATGCCCTAATGGATCAACTTTTGGTTTGCTGGGTGTCTCAGGCTCGACCACAGCTGCACCATCCACAATTTCATCCGCAAAAGGAATGAGCACCCGTCTTGCGAAACGAAAGAAGCACTGGCCTCTGCCTAAATCCAAAATCAGGCCACAATGCTTGATGAAATCCGCTCCCAAAATGACAGGAATGCAAAGGTCCTTGGCTACCCAAAAACTCCACACCCAAGAAAAATGTTCAATTTTGAACTTCAAACGGGCTTCATAGATGATGGGAAGTGGGGATTTCGATGCAGTCCAGCAGATGTGGGTACTTCGCTCAACTTGCTTGATTAGCCCAGAAGATTTTAGATTTTCAAACAGGGAAAGGGAAATGAGACAACGGGCTGACCCAGAATCCACAAGGGCCTTCTGCACCGTTTTACCTAAGAAGATGTTGAGTCGTGGGCAAGTTGAGCGCGCCGCTCTCACTCCCATGCATGCAAGCTCCCTCATACCCCGCGACAGAGGCTCCCCAAAACCAGCACTCCCAGAAGGGACAGTACTCACAGAAACCAAAGTCTTACTGACTTTCTCCAAAACAGCTTTCTCACAGGGCGGTTTAGGCAAACTTTCCCCTTGTGAGTTACTCAGGTTTTTGGACAAAGTCCCAAGAACTACACTCTGACGACACTCTCGTCTCATGTGACCTGGTTGACCACAACCAAAGCAAACAATAGGATGCCTCTGTCTCTGCGGTGTTTCAGGACCTTGACCCACGGAAGCTACAACGGGATGGGGAACAGTCTGGGGAAGATGCCCCGGAACATGCTCCCTCTGAAAATCAGCGTCTTGAACGCTCCGTGAAAGGATGACCAGCCTATCCAGGTCTGCAAAAGAAGAAGGCTTCGGAGCAAAAATCAGTCTGGACCGCTCCTCAGGCTTCAACCCCTGCAAGACAATGTCCACCAGTTGGTTTTCAGGGATGCCCAGCCGTAGGACACGCCACACGCCACAAATGTCACCCACATACTGACTGAGAGTTTCATCAAACTTTTGAGGTCGAAACACTCTCTCAACCTTCAATCTCTCCATGACCCTGAAGGGGACAAAGAGCTCAAGCACTTCACTGTGAAAATTGTCAAAATTTACTCCCCGTTTCAAACAATCTAACAATTTGTCACCAAGAGGTCTCAGGCAGAGTGGAACCAGCAGTTCCAACACTACTGAGTCCTCCATGCCTGGGAACTCCTTCAGGTGCAACACCTTTCCCAAAAACTCTAACAAAGGTTCCACCTCTAAACCATCAACCGGGCGAATGTCGCTCAAAACCCCAGCAATGGGATTGGGCAGTGGAGCAAACAAACCCATTTTGCTCTCAGTCAGTCGACCTACCTTCAAAACACACACAAAAAAATTTTTAACAACAAACAATTCACAAACTTAACTAACTAAAGGCTCTGGACTGAAATGCCTACAGTCAGATGAGGTCCCAAACAGAAGAACCTGCCCATACACACCGCCTTAGCCACCAAATCAAAAACACGGACCTTACACTCACGACATACACACAACATACATACACTAAACAACAACACCTAACATTTGTGTGATGAGGTAAACACACACACACACAGTTTCAATTTTGGGTTTGGCCATGCTTTAGACACTCTTGCTCCCAAAGGATGCAAGTAATTAACCAGATTCCACCCGGTGACTCGGCCAAGGGCGAGCTCCTAATAGAAACTACAACAGTGTGCTTACCCCACCACGACAACATTTCTTCAAAAAATTCCTAAGACTGCCAGACCAGCATCACCCAAAAATCAATCCATCCACGGCCCTTCAAAACAAATCAGAACGTGGACAGTGATCGGATCTCTAAGTATCCAAGTCGTGAAACCGAAGTTTCACGACAAGGCACCCAGGACGCAACCAAAAAACCACGCTCTGCTACCATCTGAGCCGACCCCTCGCACCGCCCCCAGACGAACAACTAAAGGAAGCATGCCCCCCATAGTGACAGTGCGAGTGGTCGCCCCACAACCCTAACAAAAGTGAAAGGCCGTGGGTGAACATCAAAGCAAAACCAAGAATTGTGAACAAAAGCCTATATATTTTCAAAATCTACAAATAACATCAAACAACGATCATTTCCCCATCCAAAGAATTTATCAATTTTAAATAACACTTTTCTCAAAAAATTTACCCTTCCAGATTACAAATGGTAACTTAACTGTGAAAAAGTTAGGCCTAACTAATAATTTAAGGATGGTAACTGCAATATAAACCTTGAATGAATTAACAATTAAATAAATAACAATTAAATAAATAACAATTAAAAAATAACGATGACTATGACACATAAATAACCGAAGATGAATTATTTTGGGGACCCTTTAAATAACAGTCCTTTTAAATATTCATGCCTAAACATAAAACTTGCGGTTTCCTTTTGCACATCATAGTCATTGTCCTTCCTGGTGGTAGGCGGTGGTGGTAGAAGGCGTAGTGTTCTACTGGTCCCAGAAGCAGGGTGACGGGCAGCCCGAAGAAGGAGAAGTTGTAGTGTCTCCCCGGGCGACCCTCTCCGGAAGCAGCAGAATGAAGCCTCTCATCTGGGACCCTTTGAACAGATTCCAGGCCTAACTAATAAAAGTTCATTTCTTAGGCTTCATATGACTGCAGTGTTAGGCCTATCCAGGTTTTCAAGCAATAAATTCAAAAACAATTTCTGCACCACTCATTCACTGACCAAAACTATTGAAGAAGTAATTTGTTAAATAATATATATATATAAATTTTTTTATATAGGCTTTCCTTTGTAAAACAGTCTTTAAAATTAGAAAAAGTAAAATGACTAGAAATAATTTAATTCAGTTCAATAAAGCTCTAAAACATAACAATAAATAGACTTTTAAATTTTACAAACTTTAACAACACATTCTTACAGACATTTTTCATAAAAATTGAAGTTGACAATAAAAGATATGAATTATCTGGTCCAGAAGGGTAAAACACATTAATAAAACATAAAACATTTACATAAATACTACAATAAATACTTCAAAAAACAGTTTACACAAAATATTAAAAATTCTTTGGCTGGAGGTGCATTTTCAGGTAAAACCGGTAATAACTCCGGTTATTACCAACCAAATTTGCTCAAAAAGCTTTTAAAAGTTGTGGCACAAGTGCCCGCAGCTTTTAAAAGACAAACCCATGCCTACCAACTAGCCTGAGGCCAGGTAGGGGGTCAGTTACCTACGGTCACTCAGAAAACAGAAATGCGCTAAGCTAAAACTTAAATAACTCGGTCATTTATCAACCAAACTTAATGAAAATTGCAGGGGACAAGTAAGAACACTAAAACTAACTAATTATGACCGAGCTTGGCCCCCAGAAGGTGCCATTACTTAACTAAAAAGAATTAGGCTGAGTGACATGGCCTACATTACAAACAACAAAAAAAACACTATTACATGGGACAGAGGGACAAAATTTACATTAAACAAGTTGTAGGCCACAATAACAATACAAAATATGAGCACAAACTAGGCCTTAGGCCTAATAAAAAGTTAACAGGGACACAGAACAAACGGACCCTAGCCCGCACAAAAGTGAGTTTTCTTGGGTAATATCTGGCCTAGAGTCTCGGGGAAAGCTTTGAAAACTTGGCAACAACAAAAACTACTAAACTAACCAGAAAAACTTGTGGTCTGACCACACAAAGCTTGGCCAAAGGCCCAACAAAACTCTGTTCAATTTCAGGCTCAGAAATGGGTCTAGCGCCTTGAAAAGCAAGTAATTGGTAATTAAAAGTAATACCAATGCACAGAAGGTGCTTAATACTTGGTTTTCACTAGCCAAAACCCACTCAAAGTCTGCACAACATGTGGCTGAAAGCCAAAACTAATTCAAGAAACTTTCTAACCTAAAACAAATCAAATAATAATCAATCAACTTACTCATCTGACGTCTGGCAAACCGTTTAATTACATGTCAAAAGAATTAGGTTTGTAAGAAGCACAGTAAAAAGTGACTAGATGTTAACCGATGCAAATATAACATTACAAACACCAAACTTGACATGAAACGATGACAGTCGCTGTTCTTCTGGCGAAAATGTGCTCGACAGCGGAAAAATGCCCCGGGGTCTGCAGGACTGCTGCCAGACCCAAACTGAACGAGTTCCGGCGCAAGGCCAGCACTCGCACTATACAAAAACACTGAGGCGTGACATTGGTGGGACGCTTGGTGGACAAGTCACGGCTCAACAAGTGTGTACAAGGGTGTACAGGTTTGTACAAGTTTGTACAAGTGTTTACAAGGGTGTACAAGTATGTACAAGAATGTACAAGTTTGTACAAGTGTGTACAAGTTTGTAAAAGGTTGTACAAGTGTGTACAAGGGTGTACAAGTGTGTACAAGGGTGCACAAGTGTGTACAAGGGTGTACAATCGTGTACAAGCTTGTACAAGTGTGTTCAAGGGTGTACAGGTTTGTACAAGGTTGTACAAGTGTGTACAAGGGTGTACAAATGTGTACAAGGATGTAAAAGTTTGTACAAGTGTGTACAAGTTTGTACAAGGTTGTACAAGTAAGTACAAGTTTGTACAAGGGTGCACAAGTGTGTACAAGGTTGTACAAGTGTGTACAAGCTTGTACAAGTGTGTACAAGGTTGTACAAGTGTGTACAAGGTTGTACAAGTGTGTACAAGGTTGTACAAGTGTGTACAAGGTTGTACAAGTGTGTACAAGGTTGTACAAGTGTGTACAAGGTTGTACAAGTGTGTACAAGGTTGTACAAGTGTGTACAAGGTTGTACAAGTGTGTACATGGTTGTACAAGTGTGTACAAGGTTGTACAAGTGTGTACAAGGTTGTACAAGTGTGTACAAGGGTGCACAAGTGTGTTCAAGGGTGTACAATCGTGTACAAGCTTGTACAAGTTTTTACAAGGTTGTACAAGTGTGTACAAGGTTGTACAAGTGTGTACAAGGTTGTACAAGTGTGTACAAGGTTGTACAAGTGTGTACAAGGTTGTACAAGTGTGTACAAGGTTGTATAAGTGTGTACAAAGGTGTACAAGTGTGTACAAGGTTGTACAAGTGTGTACAAGGTTGTACAAGTGTGTACATGGTTGTACAAGGTTGTACAATTGTGTACAAGGTTGTACAAGTGTGTACAGGGTTGTACAATGTGTACAAGGGTGTACAAGTTTGTACAAGGGTGTACAAGTTTGTACAAGTGTGTACAAGTTTGTACAAGTGTGTACAAGTTTGTACAAGGTTGTACAAATGTATACAAGGGTGTACAAAAGTGTACAAGGGTGCACAAGTTTGTACAAGGGTGTACAAGTGTGTACAAGGGTGTACAGGTTTGTACAAGGTTGTACAAGTGTTTTCAAGGTTGTACAAGTGTGTACAAGGTTGCACAAGTGTGTACAAGAGTGTACAATCGTGTACAAGCTTGTACAAGTGTGTACAAGGGTGTACAGGTTTGTACAAGGTTGTACAAGTGTGTACAAGGTTTTACAATTGTGTACAAGGTTGTACAAGTGTGTACAAGGTTGTACAAGTGTGTACAAGTTTGTACAAGTGTGTACAAGCTTGTACAAATGTGTACAAGGTTGTACAAGTGTGTACATGGTTGTTCAAGTGTGTACATGTTTGTACAAGTGTGTTTAAGTTTGTACAAGGTTGTACAAATGTGTACAAGGGTGTACAAAAGTGTACAAGGGTGCACAAGTTTGTACAAGGGTGTACAAGTGTGTACAAGCTTGTACAAGTGTGTACAAGGGTGTACAGGTTTGTACAAGGTTGTACAAATGTGTACAAGGATGTACAAGTATGTACAAGAATGTACAATTTTGTACAAGTGTGTACAAGTTTGTAAAAGGTTGTACAAGTGTGTACAAGGGTGAACAAGTGTGTACAAGGTTGTACAAGTGTGTACAAACTTGTACAAGTGTGTACAAGGGTGTACAAGTGTGTACAAGGTTGTACAAGTTTTTACAAGGTTGTACAAGTGTGTACAAGGTTGTACAAGTGTGTACAAGGTTGTACAAGTGTGTACAAGGTTGTACAAGTGTGTACAAAGGTGTACAAGTGTGTACAAGGTTGTACAAGTGTGTACAAGGTTGTACAAGTGTGTACAAGGTTGTACAAGTGTGTACAAGGTTGTACAAGGTTGTACAATTGTGTACAAGGTTGTACATGTGTGTACAAGGTTGTACAAGTGTGTACAAGGTTGTACAAGTGTGTACAAGGGTGTACAAGTTTGTACAAGTGTGTACAAGTTTGTACAATTGTGTACAAGTTTGTACAAGGTTGTACAAATGTATACAAGGGTGTACAAAAGTGTACAAGGGTGCACAAGTTTGTACAAGGGTGTACAAGTGTGTACAAGCTTGTACAAGTGTGTACAAGCTTGTACAAGTGTGTACAAGGGTGTACAGGTTTGTACAAGGTTGTACAAGTGTTTACAAGGGTGTACAAGTATGTACAAGAATGTACAAGTTTGTACAAGTGTGTACAAGTTTGTAAAAGGTTGTACAAGTGTGTACAAGGGTGTACAAGTGTGTACAAGGGTGCACAAGTGTGTACAAGCTTGTACAAGTGTGTACATGGGTGTACAGGTTTGTACAAGGTTGTACAAGTGTGTACAAGGATGTACAAGTATGTACAAGAATATAGAATTTTGTACAAGTGTGTACAAGTTTGTAAAAGGTTGTACAAGTGTGTACAACCACCACTCATTCACTGACCAAAACTATTGAAGAAGTAATTTGTTAAATAATATATACATATATATATATATTTTTTTAAATAGGCTTTCCTTTGTAAAACAGTCTTTAAAATTAGAAAATATAAAATGACTAGAAATAATTTAATTCAGTTCAATAGAGCTCTAAAACATAACAATAAATAGACTTTTAAATTTTACAAACTTTAACAACACATTCTGACAGTAAAATTTTATAAAGATTGGAGTTAACAATAAAAAATATGAATTATCTGGTCCAGAAGGGTAAAACACATTAATCAAACACAAAACAATTACATAAATACTACAATAAATACTTCAGAAAACAGTTTACACAAAATATTAAAAATTCTTTGGCTGGAGGTGCATTTTCGGGTAAAACCGGTAATAACTCCGGTTATTACCAACCAAATTTGCTCAAATTGCTTTTAAAAGCTGTGGCACAGGTGCCCGCAGCTTTTAAAAGACAAACCCATGCCTACCAACTAGCCTGAGGCTAGGTAGGGGGTCAGTTACCTACGGTCACTCAGCAAACAGAAATGCGCTAGACTAAAACTTAAATAACTCGGTCATTTATTATCCAAACTTAATGAAAATTGCAGGGGACAAGTAAGAACACTAAAACTAACTAATTATGACCGAGCTTGGCCCCCAGAAGGTGCCATTACTTAACTAAAAAGAATTAGGCTGAGTGACATGGCCTACATTACAAATAACAAAAAACACTATTACATGGGACAGAGGGACAAAATTTACATTAAACAAGTTGTAGGCCACAATAACAAAACAAAATTGAGCACAAACTAGGCCTTAGGCCTAATTATAAATTAACAGGGACACAGAACAAACGGACCATAGCCCGCACAAAAGTGAGTTTCAAAGTGAGTTTTCTTGGGTAATATCTGGCCTAGAGTCTCGGGGAAAGCTTTGAAAACTTGACAACAACAAAAACTACTAAACCAACCAGAAAAACTTGTGGTCAGACCACACAAAACTTGGCCAAAAGCCCAACAAAACTCTGTTCAATTCCAGCCTCAAAAATGGATCTAGCGCCTTGAAAAACAAGTAATTGGTAATTAAAAGTAATACCAATGCACAGAAGGTGCTTAATACTTGTTTTTCACTAGCCAAAACCCACTCAAAGTCTGCACAATATGTGGCCGAAGGCCAAAACTATTTCAGAAACTTTCTAACCTAAACAAATAAAAAAATAATCAATCAACTTACTCATCTGACGACTGGCAAAACACTTATCTACATGACTGGATCAAAACGTTGTAAGGTTGAATAAACAACATGAAAAACAACGGCATAAAAACGATTTACACGGATACAATTTTTTATGCAAACAATCACAAAGTCTGAGATGGTTGACAGTCGCACGCCTTCTGACTCACAAGCGTCAAGCGGACATTGACTCTGGGTTGCAGGATTGCTGCCCGACCCAAACCGACTGAGTTCCGGCGCAAAGCCAGTACTCGCACTATAAAAAAAACTGAGGCGTGACATTGGTGGGACGCTTGGTGGACAAGTCACGGCTCAACCTCCCCCCCCCAAAGGAGGACTTCCTCTCCAAAAAAAAAAAGAAAACAACCTCTCCCAATTCTAGAAGATCTCAACACCACAGATCAACTCAAGTGTCTGAAGTGGGGAACGCCAAAAGACTTTCAACTGGAGGGACTACTCACCCCCAGGGGTTGCACTGGCCAGTGCTGGAAAATTTACTAGGGAAAAATCTTCAGCAGCGCACAAGGGACAGAAGAGGTGATCAAGCTCTCTGGCCCAGTGCACTTCCCACTCAGACACAAGAGTAAAGAAAGATGACCTACGGAATTGTTCCCCGGAAAGGCTTCAGATGAGAAATGTGAGCCCTCCGGAAAACTTCTCCAGTCTGCGGATTTCCAAGCCGCACGGAGACAGGAGTCAAGAACTTCAAGATGCGGTGGGGACCTGACCACCGATGAGACAACTTAGCGGCTCTCTTGTCCATGGCCGAACTGACCGGATGAGCCTTACAGAAAACCAAATCCCCCACCTGGAAAGGATTGTCCAACCGACCTCGATTGTGCTTCCTCCGGACCAATTCCCTAGCTCGGATCAAGTTCCTCCTAGCCGCCTGCCAAGTTACCTTGACATTGGCAGCACCAGGGGGTGGCAGAAGGTCGCCAATTTTCCACACATTTGCCAAAGGATTATTGGGTGGATAGCCCAACAACAGCTCGAAAGGGACCGCCTTGTGACTCTCATGGTGTGCAGTGTTGAAAGCAAATTGAATCCAAGGAAGTTCCTGATCCCAGGTGGTCTGCTTGTCAGCATGAAAAGCTATGAGAGCGGATCGAAGATT